GTATTAAGGGGTTGCAGGAATTAAGCAGAGCAGTGGAGGACAGGGGTCCTGGAGATGTCTCATCCATAGGGCCGCCATGGGTCAAGGGCAGTTAACAACAACAAATGCTTTTTAACACCTTGCCTGAGCAACATATCTATTGTGCATTTTGGTTGGCCCAAGAAAGGTGTCACTGTGTGGTGGATTTGTGATGTTACCCAGAGGTAGGCAACCTTTCCCCTTTAAGGGCCGAGGGACTTCAGCTCCCAGAAGCCTCAGCCATGTTGGCCTATAATAGTCCCATGTTGGCCAATAGCTCCTGGGATTCTGGGACCTGAAGTCCCTCGGCCCTTAAAGGGGAAAGGTTGCCTACCCCTGTGTTACACACTCAAGGCCTCCATAGGACGGAGCCTGGGCGGTTACAAAGTGGCGTCAAACTGGATTACTGCTGCAGTGTGGATGCCCGCTGGGCCTGCTTTCCCTCCCCTCAGCCGTTCGCTCGTTCCCCAGAGAGAGCTCTGGCTCTTGCTCTGTCATGGCGCCTCCGTGAGGAGAGCGAGAGAGCGATAGGCCTCGCCTCAGAGGCGTCTCCTCCAATCGCGGCGCCCCTTACTGCCGGGTGGGCAGAGCTGAGGCGCCAGCTGATCCGAGGCTCGGCCATGGTAATGTCCGCCGCTTTGTTACCCCGCAGCCCTCCCCCGGCCGGAGATGGGCGCTTGGGGCCGGAGGGAGGGAGGCAGGGAGGGATGTGGGGCGAAGAGGGCAAAATGGGGCCGGGGATGCGGGATGGAGGAGCAGCCGCAGCCGCAGCCGCAGGACCGGTTCCTGGGGTCTCTCTCTCTGTCTCCCTGTCTCCCCCTCCTTCCAGGGCGGCCTGATCTCCTCACCACAAAATGGAGAACCTCCCCGGAGAATGGAGGACAGGGCCTCATGACAGAGCCTCCATCAGTCGTATAAGACCTAAAACCATTCGTGCTTCTTGGTCAGGCTCAAAATGAATGGAGGACGTTTCGGGACTCCTCTTGGGCAGAAAAATAAAGGCGACAAACACCCATATAAATGTAAATCGATGCTTCTTCGTCCTGCTCAAAATGGAGGACGTTTATGGAATTCCTCCTGGGCAGGTAGCTTGAAATGGAGGGCGTGTCCTGGAAAAGGTCAGGGTGGCCAGCCACGTCCTCCTTTGTTTCCAGGACATGTCCTCCATCTCAGCCTCTCTTGTCCAGGAGGAATTCCAAAATGTCCTCCATTTGGAGCAGGACTAAGAAGCATGGATTTATCTCTCTGTGAGAGCTTTTAAAAAGTTTCCTGTGGTCATGTCCTCAATTTTTCTGCAATGTCCTCCATTTTGCAGTGTCTTGGCCTCCTTGGAGGTGAGGATCTCCGGTTATCGTGGAAAAGGACCTCATATAAACCCTGAATTCATGCTTCTTGGTCAGGCTCGAAATGGAGGGCATTTGGGGATTCCTCGTGGACAGAAAATAACAGCTAAAAATTATAAATATGAATCCATGCTTCTTAATCGTGCTCAAAATGGAGGACTTTTTGACATTCCTCTTGGATATGTAGTTTGAAATGTAGGAAATGGCCTGGGAAAGGGCAAGGTGACCAGGGATGTCCTTTTTCCAGGACCTGTCCTCCATTTCAGCCTTCTCCTGCCTAGGAGGAATTCCAAAATGTCTTCCATTTGGAGCAGGACTAAGAAACATGGTTTTATCTTCCTATAAGTGGTGTTTTTTCTGTGGTGATGCCCTCATTTTTTCTGCAATGTTCTCCACTTTGACCTCCTTGGAGGAGAGGACCTCTGGTCACCTTGGAAAAGGAGGACGCCTGGTCACCCTGCCTCTCCTCTCCTGCCCGCAGCCCCTCTTTTTTCCCTTCTCGGATCCATGGCTGGAGGTGGCCCCTGGGCACCCAGGTGTGGGGAGGGTTAGGGTCCTAGCCCAGCAAGAGAGGCCCAGGGGCCAGGCAAGGAGGTGAAATTTATCCAAAGGGACACAAATGCATGCAGTGTTTATATATTTATTTTCATTTATATATTGAGTACAGTTGATCCTCTGTATCCACGGATTCTTTATCCACAGATTCAAGCATCCATGGCTTGAAAATACTTTAAAAATACCTTGATTTTGCCATTTTATATAAGGGGCACCATTATACTATGCCAT